CCTCATTTGGGCAGCTTCCCTGTGTTTGTTTCTATGTATTAGGTAGAGCCACTTTGACTTTGTATCTTGTTGTTATGGCCTATTGTAGTAGGTGTCCTGTAGGGTCCAGTGGCACAGGTGCCCCTATCACCCATGCTGGGTACTCAAGGTGTGCCCTTTGTGTGGGCTGAGTGCACCCTCCTCTTGGAGTTGAGGCTTGGTTGTTGTTGACAGACCAATGGGAGGGATTTACACAGGTCAGTCAGCTGCAAGGGTTACTGTGACCACTGGCCACCCACCTCTGCCCTCTGTGGAGGATCAGCTGTGCAGGGCCAGAGTGGTGGTGGAGAGCCGCATTTTAAACATTTTCTAGCTCATGACTGCAAGGCACCCAGTTACTGTTCATCTCTATACCCTTGCCTTTCCCTTTCAGCATGTTTGTTGTCTGAGTTGCTCTTCCTGCTCTGCTTTAGTCCATCCGGCATCAGAACCATCTGGAGTACTTGCTATGACACACTTAGCTGGGCCCTACACCTAGCGTTTGTGATCCAGTTAGTCTGAAATGAGACCCGAGAATTTGTATTTTTAACATTGATCTCCTGGTCCAGAAACTGGCCTAATCTGTCTACTAAATTACAGTCTGCAATGCAAAGCCCTCTGTAGGGCACAGAAGAGATCCCACCTTCTTCTCAGACAATGGTATTAAAAATTAAATTAATGAATGCATACCTCATTACTACTTTGCATGTACACCATCTCATTTAATCTTCTTAAGAACCCTATGAAGTAATAATTATTATTTTAACCCCCATTTTATAGATGATGGAAAATAAAGTTCAGAGGAATGATGTAATTTACCCCAAGTCAAATAGCTCATTAGCAGAGAAGCCAGGTTAAACCCAAGTCCTCCAACTTGGGGCCATAAAATTCATGATGCAAGTTGTACAGTGTTCAAAGGCAAGTAGAGGCTGAAATCCAGCCTGTATTCTGCACGCTCAGGTGTGCACCCTTATGGCCACGTCAGCCTTTATCTTATGTGCATTTAAGTGCTGTAGAGTCTGGCAGTGATAGTGATCCAAATCCACACTCTCTCCTCCCTTCTCCACAACCCCTGGGGCCACCCGGGTGATGGAGAGAAAGGCAGAGAAGTTGGGAAAGACAGGAAGTACAGAGAGAGGGCTGAGAGAAAACATTACTTGGCACAGAATCAAGACCACATACGTGGACATGTGGAAGAGGCTCATAATGCAGCTGTTCCTGCTGGGGGCGTTGAGGGCAGGTTTCAGTGGCATGAAGCAAAGGAATTTGGCTGGAGGCAGAGCCACATATGTCAGCAATGGCAGCTGTGCCTCCTGCCCACCCCTGGCATGTGATGGCATGGTAGGTGCCCAGTGGGTGGAGCAATTAGCTTGTACCCCAGGGCTCCTGGTTCTGCTTCTCGCTTTCCCTCCCACTGCCTTTCAGCAATTAGATTGCGTGAATAATAGCCGCCAAGCCACTTTGTTGAATCTGATGAGTTTATTAATTTCTTGGGGGCTAACAGAAGGATGGTTGGAGCTTAGGGTCTAATTAGTCTTTTTTCTATGTTTTCAAAGGTGGGAGGTGGGGCAGACTGTCAGATCTAGGTCTCGGTAAATTGTTTTATCCCTGGCTTCTGTGGGTACCTGTCTTGTGGCTCAGGTAAGAGCAAGTAGTCCAGGACTGGAGCAGACGGTATTGGAGGACTGGGTCCCACAGTGATGTGGAAAGCGGGCTAGGATGAGGCTGAGGCCTTGCCCTCCCCACCACTGTGAAATGGATGTTTAGGAGGACATGTAGGGCCCAAAGAAGCTCAGTCCTATCCCAAGCATCCAATGCTGACATCCAGCTCATCCAGGCTTTTTGTCCTTCTGTCCAGATCTGGCCTTTCTCAGCCTAGGAGACAATCTGGAGCCAATTCTGACCATTTGGAAGACAGGGAACCTGAGCCTTTGTGAGAACACTCATTTCACCTTTCTGGAGACCCAGGAGAAAAACCTCTGTGTCCAGGTTCCTGGCTGGATAGCGGAGGCCCCTTTAGGCTTTCTCTGGCTATCCAGGCCTGTTCACAAGGCGGGGCATGCCCATGACCCCACCCCAGAGAAAGCAGAAGAGGCAGGAAGACATTGGATTTAGGGGTCAGACAGCTCTAGGTGCAAGCCTGGGCCACACCTACTAACTAGGTGAACTTAGACAAGCCATTAAACCTCTCTGAACCTCAGTTCCCTCATAAATAGAATAAAATATTCCACAAGGTGGGCAGGAGAATTCAGAGGTGATTGAACTCAGACACAACTAGCACAACAGGTGCCCAGTAACTACTGTTTCTCCTTTTATGTGAAAATCTAGCAGCTCATCCTGTTGCTGGTGGAAGTGGGGTCCTTGCAGTGTCATGAGGAAAGCATTTTGGGGGGACCCACAAGGGATGATGAAGTCTGGCGATAAGATTTATTTGTGGCTCCAGATGCAAAATCAAAGGAGTGACCTTGGGGTGCCAATGCCCCATTTCCATCCTTTCTACCATGGAAACAGTCCAGTCTTGCCTTCATCAAGCCCAACACAAAGCCCACGGTCTGAAAGTTCGATGTCTTCTGTGCCATGCGGAAGCTCAGTCCATGTCTCTGTCCAGATCCAGCCAGCTTAGTCTGCTCCAGGCTGACACTGTGCTCAGCCCTGCATAGTCTACTAGGGCCACGTGGCTGCTGTGGGGGAAACCTGCAAATGAACAGAACACAACCAGTTGCACCCTTGGGCGGTTGGAAAGCTGGTTCTTTGTCCCTACACAGGGAAGAGCAGAACACTGATCCCCTGGGCAGGACAATGCTGCAATCCCCTGAGGCATCCGTGAATGCTGCGACTTCCTAGTGAAAGAAGCTTATGCTCCCTAGTTTTTTATGCTCAATGATGTCTGATTTCCTTTGCTCTTTCCCTTTATTTATATCTAGCTGCCTACACTAATAACCCCTCATCCTCCCCACTATCTTCCCTGCAGAAAGAGAGGAGACAGGGGAAGCTTGGCAATAACCTGACTTGACTGGTCCCTTTTAGGGACAGTAGGCACTTCAGAGAGCCAGAGGAGGGCCCACCTGCATTGTCCCTGCCCCACAGACAGCGCATTCTGCCTATATGAGATGATGGCTTCCCCCTGCTTCCGAGTACCGTCCTTGAGCAAGGTGCTGGGTGCAAGCATAAATAGGCCAACCCAGGCCGGCTGCTGGGAGATGGACACAGGAACAAACATGTGCAGTAGAGCACTGACGGGGCCAGACAGGGTGGCCGTGAAGGTTTCCTTGGGAAGAGTCACCTGGGATCAAGAGCACGGGAGTTGAAGCCTAAGCCCCCCATTTGCTGGGCAAGGTGACCTCAGAAAAGCTAGGGGGGTTCTTTTAGTTTGGTGTTAGTTTCTTTATCTATAAAATGGGACTTCCTGTGCAGCTATGCATAAGATACTGCTTATAAAGCGAAAGCGACCATAAGCATGGATAGGACTAATCAGCCCTTGCAAAGGACTAAAGGTGAGAAAGCTTCCCACCTGTCTCCAGGAGGCATCCTCGCAGAGGCCTGGAAAGGAGTTTTTAGCCATCTCCCCTTTGTCAGGTGACTGCATCACACCTACGGACACCACCTGGCCCCCGCCTGAAATGGGAGGCCCGCAACAAAGCCTGGGGATGGTCGATGGCGGGCCTAGCCTGGCCCTCCCCTCTTCAAGCTCCAGGCGCGACATCAGGGAGATTGTTCCTGATCACTAACCAGTGGCCCCTTGAGGTGGAGGTGGGGCCAAGGGTAAGACATGTCTTCATTGATGCTGCAGCTTTGACAAGGAGAACTCAGGGCCCAGCTCTGGAGACTAGAGCCCCATGGCACCTCTGTAACTTGTAAGGGTTTCCAAGAAAGCTGCTACCAGTGCCTGGGAAAGCCTAGCAAGGCAGATGTGTGCATTTCATTGGGCTTCCACCCAGCTGCCAGCTGTCTCTCCTGGCTGCCCAGCTCAAACACTCAGTATCAGAAATGATTTGCCAGGGCTCCAACTGTAGAAATACATTGATGACAACACACACACACACACACACACACACACATTTATAAAAGGGGTTCCACTGGGGGGAAAAAGAACATCTAAAATCCCAGTGCTGTTGAGTTTAGGTCTTGGTAACTTTCTAGATTAGAGAACTAAGTCATGGATTTTTTTTTTTTCTGTAGCAGTTAAGACAATGGGTAAGGACATGGTCTCAGAGAGGTACAGTAACTTTTCTGAGGTCACTCAGTTGAGATCCATAAACCTTGGTCTGGCTGAATAACATAACATCAAAGTGACACATCCATGCTCTCAATTGGCTCTGAGAAGATAGGGTAGACATCACCATCTCTATTTATAGACAGAGAAGCTGAGACTCAGAAAGACTTAACTAACTTGCCTTAGTTCTCACAGCTAGCAGGTGAATCAATAGGACTAGAACCTGGGCTGTCCTTCTTCTGGTTCATTCATTCATTGACTCATTCAACAAACATTTATTAAATGCCTAGTGTATGCCAGTTCTGTCCAATACACTGTTCTGATTCTTATTTAGATAATCAGAATTCTTAAAGGCAGAATGAAGAGAAAGAGCTTTGTGGCTCATTCCTGCCTCCAGATACTGTGAATCCACATGTTCCACTCCCATTTGTGCCAGAGAACTTCCCCTGGACTCCATACATTCCTGACTTATTTTTCCATTTTCTTCTTCCACTTCTCCTAAGTCTTTATCCCTTTCTTCCCTTGCTCTCACAGGTCACCTCACCCTTCTCTGCCCACCCCAACCCCATGTAACAGTACCCCCTGCCCCGGGTTAACCCCTTTGCTTCATAAACCATATCTTTCCTCACTTTTGTGGCTTACATGCAGCCCAGAGGACTGGCCTCTCAGCTCCTTCCAACCCTGAATACCTGCAGGACCTCAGCAACCCAGCTCCACAGCCCCCTCCTTCCCCCATTTCTTCCCAGTCCTTTCTCCTTGGTTTCCTCAGATTGGCCAATGGCATGTGGCAGATGGCCTCAGCATGGACAGCCGCCTCTACACCTCCAACATGTCCAACAGCCTCTTCAACACCACCCTGGTCGTCACCACCATTCTGGTAAGCAGGGTGCCCCTCAGGCCTCCCAGCTGCAGCTTCCCAGGGTGACTCCTCCCACTTTAGGTTACTCATGGGCTTCCCAGTGGGCAGTGGATGGGAGCTCTAGTCACGGCACCGAGACCAACTGATGGCAGCATAATTAGACTCAAGTTGCTGTTTCCTATGGAAGGGATATTTGATGAGTTCCAAAGCAGCTGGGGAGACGGATGGGGTGGGGACACAGCACCATCTGTGGATGGCTCTTCCAGGCAGTCAGTGAAGCTGTGCCTGGCCAAAGGAGGGGCTCCTATGACACAGGTGGGAGAAGGCCACCAGGACGGCCCTTCCCTCTCATCGCAGCCTACCTGCCTGGGTGCCTATAGAGCACCAAATGTCCCTGTGCAGCGCACCTGAATTCCAGTGGATTTTCATGGCCCATTTCTTCATTTTCAGCTGGTAAAGAAAACAGTCTCAATGTATAGGGCCAGGAACCATCTTCCTTTTCTATTCAGTTTTCTTCAAGAATTATCAGGCTCCCCTCCCAACGTGCCAGGCACTGCACTCATTGCTGAAGACACAGCAATGAGAAGGACTCCGTCTCTAGCCTCAAAGCGGTTGTAACTTAGTAGTTGGCATCAGCCAGGTTCACTCATGTCCGAGGCCATCTTCTTCTTCCCCCGCCAAAGACCTCATGTCTTAAAAGATTTGTCAATAAAATCAGCTGCATGTATGATGCAATAACTAGTTTGTTCCTCTCCCCCACCTCACCCCTTTAATCAAAACATATTTCCCTGCTTTTCCATCTGGGAATGCTTTTTCCTGGGCACAGCATCTTATCTGCAGCAGATAACCAGCACTGCCACACTGATATAATTCTAGCCCAAAGCAGAGATTTGATGTCTCAGTTAGCCTGCTCAGCCTTATCATCGCTAAGTGAGCAAGGTCTGCAAATGTGCTGGTTTCTTTTAGGCTTTTAGAGACTTTTGAAAGAGTTCAGGGACCTGCATCACTAACTTCTTGAACTCTTGGGGCCCAGGCCCTGGACTGGGATAGTGATGTTCTGTAAGCAGAGTGGGATAGAAGCCAGGAAGGACCTATGCACTGAGCCCCTAGGGATTGAAGGAGACAGGGCTCCCTTCCCAATGGGGAAGGCAGCAAAGCCTTCGGAGAAGGGACATGGAAGACGGGCTCCAAAGGCAGAGAGAACTGAGTCAAGGAAAGTATTGTCAGCAGTCAGGAGATGCTGAGATGTGCAGGTTTTCCCAGGAAATGAGCATCAGCAGAGAGAGGTGAGCTGTAAGGCCAGAATAATTCTGTGACACTCGTTGGGGTGTTGCCATCCCAGGGATGGACACCTACAGCCACGCCCTGTCCCCGAGGCCATGTCTGTACTTTTCACTGACAGTCCCTGGGTGCTTAATTCTGGGAAGTGTCAGCCCGAGCTCCACTTACATCCTACCTGGGAGCAGGCACACAAAGGACGAGGGGAGTGTGGTTGTGAGGGGCCCTGGCTGTAAGCACGGGAGTCCTTAGAAGTACATTGACACCAGAGGAGGAGATGGGATCTCAAGGACAGAAGGAGGGGAGGGAAAGCAGAGGGGGCAAAGAGGAGCCAAGGGCAACATGCGTGAAAGGCAGGGAAACTTGCCTCATGTCATCGGCACGACAGTGGACTTGATCATGAATCATAACCTTTAACTTAGAGCTTCCTCCCTCCGACACACGACCTTCCCCTCTCCCACTGTAGCACGCTCACAAAACTGCCCTCTCTTTGCCCCCCTCATAACCTCTGGGCTATCTGGGTCTCCATCTTTCCCAACCCGGCAGTCCCTCTCCGCTGGAGCTCAGCAAACCACCATCTCAACGCTTCCCTCCCTTAGCTCCTCAAATGGTCTGCACCCAATGCCCAGCACCTCATCTCATTCCTGTCCTCAAGCCCAGTTGCCCTCTCAATCCCTGCTCTCGATAGCTGATCTCTGTCCCACCTCCTGAGTTCCCCTGACTTCCCCTGAGCCTCCGCAGTCCCTGTGCTCATCTCTCGCTCACCACCGTATCATCCCCTAAGCAGTTTCACCAAACCTTCTTATGTACCGAGTCTTCAAGCCCACCTGCCTCCCACACAGCTCCGAGGGCCAGTGCTCCCCCTCACCTTTGGCCTCCTCCCCTGCTCTCGGCATCCATACCTGTGTTCCCTGCCTTACTTCAGGCCCACTTCCCAGACTCACGCTCGCTTTGACCCTGGCTCCTTCCATCAGATCCTGGGACCATGTTGCACCATCCAGCACATATCTTTCTTCTCCAGTCTCTCCTTTTTGAAGGATTCCTCCATTTTGACCTACAAATACAGTCTGACCCCTCCCATCCTGAGATGCTGTCACCACCACCTTATCTATATCCACTGCCCTTTCAGCTACCCATCAACTTAGGGAATCGTGAATCATGGGTTTGGTGGACCCCTGGGCATCCCCCAACCATGTCCTTTGCAGGCTGCAAACTGAAGCTCAGAGAGAGACATGACTTCTAGCAGTTGGTAGAAAGAAGGTCTGCCTACCTTCTTTTGTCTCCTAACTTCATAAAACGCTCCTCCACTCTCACCCATACACATCTCATTCACTGCCCAGTCCTTGCACAGTTCGGCCACCCCCACCAACTCTCACATGGAAGGTTGCCAGTGACAGAAGACCTAGATGCCTTGTCTGCCTTCTTGAAAGTTCTTCCCTTCGACTTCCAGGACCTCATTTTCCTGATTCCCAGCTTCTCTGGATGCTCTGTTTTGTCTTCTTCTCTGGCTGCTCCTCATTTTTCCTAAGATCAGGGTCTCCCCAGGGGCCTCTTCTTGTCCCTCCTCAGCTCTCTCCCCCAGTGGCTTCAGTATTCTGGGCCTTCAGTCGTCGCCTCCACGCAGAAGCCTCCAGTCTCTGCCACTAGCCCTTCCCTCACTCAGCCATTTCTTCCCGGATAACCTACCAGCACTCGAATTCAACACATCCCAAGCCCTTTTCCCTTCCAAACCACCCATGGCAGTGAGACACCATCCTCAGTCCTTTCTCTGGCTCCAGGGCTCTGAGGACCCCTGCCCTCTGTGCCCCACACCCAAGCTGTCATCAAGCTGGACCCTTTCTGTGTCCTTCCAGTGCCCTGTAATCCAACCTGAGTCAAACTATGGCTCAGTATCTCATATCAGGGGAGGTCTGTTCTCATTTCCAGACGTTCTCTCTCTTGCTACTTAATATTTTTACTCACATCCTTAAGTCTTTAAAAGTGTTAATGCTTCTCTACTATATATGTGCAATGCACAGTCACCTTGTCCTGGCATCCAAGGCCCATACTGACCCTCATTCATCTTTCCAAATTTATTCTCCTGCCCTGCCCTTCTACACCACCTCTACTCCACTAAGCAGGGGGCCCACTGGGCGCCTGAGCTTGACCTCAGATCATGCCCCGAGGATGCGCTTCCCCTGCCCGTGGTGCCCTGCGTCCATCCCACATCCTTCTGTCAGTGTTCTGTCACCTTCCAGAGCCCAGCTCCGCTCCCATCTCCTCCATGGACACTCCCCTGGACACTCCTCCAGAGACCTCTTGCCAACACTCCTAGCTGGACAAGCTCCACCTTGCACTGCAGTTGTTCAGTACCCATTCTGACCTACCCTGCTATATTCTCGGCATCCTTGTATCTCATAATGCTCAGTGACAGCTTTGTGTAGAATAAACAAAAGAAAGAGATGGGATGCGGGTGGGGTCAGAGGATGACCTTAAACAAGGTGGAGGGGCTTCAGCTTGATACTCTGTGCAGTGGAACCTGTACGCATTCCTAGTAAGGGAAGTGCTTAGAAGTTGGAGGCAGGGAGTTAATTGCTACCTGGAAAGTAGCTTGGATAACGTGCTATTTTCCTTCTTCTACCCCATAGTCTCCATAATCTCCTCTGCCCCGGGTCCCCCATAACGTGTGGCTGAGACTCCAGGGCTAAGAGGAGAATGACAGCTGTCCAGTTTTGCTGCAGGAAAACCCATACTTAATGCTGAAGGGGAATCACCAGGAGATGGAAGGCAATGACCGCTACGAGGGCTTCTGTGTGGACATGCTCAAAGAGCTGGCGGAGATCCTCCGGTTCAACTACAAGATCCGCCTGGTTGGGGATGGCGTGTACGGCGTCCCCGAGGCCAATGGCACCTGGACAGGAATGGTTGGGGAGCTGATCTCTAGGGTAAGAAAAGATCAGGTGATCTGGATGCAGGGGTGGGTTGTGGAGGGATGTGGAAGGACATAAAGTTGTGCTGTATGCTGATGAACCCTCCATTTACTCAGTCCATTATTCATGCATTTTTCATTAATTTGTCTATTCATTGCCCACATCTTTTCTGAGCTGGCACTGAACCAGGCAGCAGTGATAATTGTTGGTAAATATTTGAGATCATGGTGCTTTCCCAGTCCAACACCTGTAACAGGTAAGGGAGGGTGTGACCGATTAACATGAATTAGATAGTTTGGGTTCCATGTTTGGATAACCCAGGTCTTCTTTGTTCTGGTTATTTTGTTGCTCATTAGCACCCCTGGCAAGGCTTGGACAGGCCCTGAGAAAGAGAAACACACCAACATCAGTTGACTTTGACCTCTGAGAGGTGCTGTCAGGGGACACATGGCTAAATAACAGGGGGAAAGGATCAATTGTCAGAGGAGTTGGTCAGAGTTACAGTTACTGTTACTTGTATTACTTTCTGCTACCATTAATGTGCTTCCACAGACCCAGGGCCAAGGCGCACTTGCTCGGGCTATAGACTTTCAGAGTGAACGTGGATTAAAATTCAGGTGAGCATCTCAGAATATGAGTCATCTGTTAGGCTAGAGCAAGGATATAGACAGTTCTTCCCGTGGGAAGTCTCTTTTTTTCCTTGGTACTCACTATTAATATCTGTAAAAATTAATTATTATTAATTCACAGCCCATATTTTCATAACTGGGTTTTCCTGGTCAAGACAGGTGATGGGTATCCCACAGCAGAGCTCACAGACCTGGGTTCCAAGGCTGACCTTGAACCAACCCCCTGCCCTGTGGGGAGCAGGAGCAGCCCAGCTGCTCTCCCAGAGCTTCCTGGCTAATGTCAGCAGGCAGTGTGCTTTACATACGTGACCTCTGGTCCTCTTTCAACATACCTTTTAGCTACTTCTTATCCGCACGTTAAAAATGAGCCATCTGGAGCTTGAATGACTTGCCTGAACCGTTTATATGAGACTCGGCTGGGATTTGAACCCAGATCTGTCTCACTCCAGAGCCCATATTCTTTCCTTCCCAGCACACACCTCAGCTGGACTTGGATGTCACTAAGAAAGATGCACATAAATCCAGGCCTCTTTCTCCTCCCTCCCTCCCTCACATCTCCTCCCTTCCACCTCTGCTTTCTTTTTTTCTTTACTCTCTTCCCTTTATCTATTGAATTAATATGATTTTAACCCTTAACCTGTACCAAAGTTGGACTATAAGATAAAATCCTAGTCTTCAAGGTTTAAGTATTAGTTGGGGTATTAATTCAGCTGCCTGTGGCAGAGCCTTGTGCAAGCCCTGCGGACCGGAGCGTGGCCCCGCAGAGCTGAGAAGGGCGCTCAGGCGGAGCCCGGCGCCACAGGCCGCACCTGCCGGCCCAGCAGGCTGCACTGCAAGGCCCGCTCAGGGACCGGGAACTGCCCACGTGCTCGAGGGCAGAGGGCTCCGGGCAAAGGCTCGCCCGCGGGGGGCGGAGCCGTCCACAGCCTTCTGTGCCTCCCCGGTCAGGCTGGGGGGAACCTCGGGCGGGGAGTCGCCTGCTGTCCGCGGGACTCAGGCCCAGCCGGCTGACCGCACGGAGCTTCCGCAGAAAAGGAGGCGCGGCTCTCCTGCCGTTTCAGACCCTCCCGAAGGAGCCGCCCTGCGGCGCGGACGTGCAGCCTGGCGGGGCGAACGCAGAGCCGGGACTCCAAGCCTCTCCCTTCCTTCTCACTGACGTGCTCGGTCACCTTGAGCCCCGTTCCCCGGCCCCTCACTGCCTGGTGGCTGGTGGGCGACGTCAGGGACGTCAGCGTCCGCGCACGGCCCCTCCCTCCTGCGGCGTGGCCTGGCAGGGAAAGGAGGGCAGTCTGGGACTTGAGGGGGCGCGAAGGACGCGGGCCATCAGACAAGACCGGATCAGCTCCAAGCCAAGCTGCTGCCGCTTTGGTCTCATCAAAACTTGGCTACACGGTAAATTAAACCCACTCATTTAATAAATATTTATTGAATACCTTCCATGATTCTGACCATTGGAAACTCAATAAGGGAGGAAATAAGCATGGACGCGGCCCTGTGAACCTTCCCGGCGAGAGACAGACCTGAATGGACGATCCCAGCCGTGTATAACTGGGGACTCTGACCAGGGCGAGGGAGGCCGAGGAGCAGGGCCGGTGAGAGCGCCTGGCGGGAGTGGGCTCCGGGCGGGAGGGGCCGCTGGGCCTCGGGAAATGGCGTCGGAGCGGACCTCTGAGGGGCAGGGGGAGCACTGCGGCCAGGACGCCGCCTGAGCGCCGCCGCGACCGGATCGCCCCGGGCAGGAGGGCAGCAGCGGCGACGCGGGGCCACCTTCCCCAGGCTCGGGGCGTCGACGTGCCTGCCAGGGTGGCTCCCGGGCTGACGGAGGCCTGGTCCCGGCGCGCCCTTTGGGACGTCCCCCGCGCCCCCGACCCCCACGCGCTCGTAGAGCCTGGGCGCACCTGGGTGTCCCGACTGGAGAGACCCCGGAGGCACGCTCGGCCGCGGAATGCGCCGCACGGGGAAGAGGAGACGCGGGCTCCGGGCGGCTGAGCGCCCTGTGAGGGGTCCCCCGGCGGCCGGGAAGCTCGCGGCCGGCGCCCGAGCCCAGGCCTGCCTGAGAGAGGCGCTCGCGGCCTGAGGGCGCGAGTCCTGAGGCCAGACGGACCTACGCGCACCTCGGCTGCTGCGGGGAAGTTTATTTCGTCCTTTCCATCCCTCCCCCAGGGCCTCAGTGTTCATCTGGAAAGGCTGTTGGTGCGTAAGGACGTAAAATATCACACGCACAGACAGCCGGACACACTGGAGTGCGAGGGTCGCCTTAGGCAGCGCTCCCCGAAGACGAAGCCCCGCGGAGAAGCTTCTCGCTGGCGCACGAGTGCGGCGCCGGGGCGGGCGCGGCGGGGCGCGCGGGGCCTTGCCGCCTGTCACTGCGCGGCCCGGCCTTGCGCCCAACGCCGCTGGCGGGCAGCCTGCGGAGGGGCCTGCGGAAGGACAGCCTCACCGAACGGCCCGGCGTGGGCGGGAGGAAAGCCGCCGGCCGAAAGCCGCCTTTCGTCGGCCAAAGTTGAGTTCACGCCACAGGACCCTCTCGCCACCTTCCAAGCAGGCCGATCTCGAGGCAGCGTTGAGAGCACCGTCAGCACCAGCCGGTCCAGAGAGCGCGGCGACCCGGGACCCACCTCCCTCGCAGCGGCTGGGCGAGCGGCGTGGCCGGGCTACCAGGGGTCCGCACGCCGTCACCTCTCACAGCCTAAGGACGCCTCAAGGCTGGAGGCTGGAGGCTGGAGGAACTCGGGCAGTGAGAGCTGGGAGGCCGCCCGGAGGCGCAGGAGGCGCAGACGCGGTGAGCTGCGCCCGCCGAGAGGGCGGAGCACCGTCGAGACCTGCCTGGCCCCAGCCACGGAGGGAGAGCGCCTACGAAGCCTTCCTTTCGCCTAGGGCCCCCGCACACCTGCTCCCTCCGCGGGTTAATTGACCCTGAGGTCCAAAGGTCAGCCTCAGATTCAGGAACAGACCTCAGGCCTTTGTCTGCCACCCTCCCATCCCTGTGATGTGTTTTCCTCTGAAGGAGTCGACATGGGCACCTGGGGTGCAGGCAGGGAGTCGACTTCAGGTATGTTCAGAGCCACCTCAGCAGCTTCAGACTGGATGCTTCCCAAACCCCATGGGCACCTGGCAGCAGCCTGCGAAGTGCGTCCGAAGGCTCACTTCTGGGGAATCATTTCCGCCTGCCTCACCGAGTGCCGGCCTACTGCAGGCAGGGAGGAGTCTGCAGAGGAAATGAAACTGTATTAGTGGAGGCATCGGACAGCCTTCTAAGAGACTGTCTTACTTTAAACAGAAGAGACAGGCAGTAGGGAACTGATTTGGGGACGGACAGGAAAAGTGGCGTCTTAAGTCTCCGAAGGAGAGCCTGGCCCCGACGGCGCCCCGTGCGGCAGAGGCGAAACAGCAGTGCAGGCTGAGCCGGGCCCCAGGCTCTAGTCTGAGAGCAGATGTGCTGTCAAGAGCTCCGCGTCAGCCTGCAGGCGCTGAACCTCCGTCTTGTTCCCCAAAGAATGTTCTTGTTCACCGCCCAGTTTTGGTAACTCAGCTCCTGATTACTCCAGCCCGAGTCTCTGACGTAGCTAACCTTCGCCCATGCACTCCTATCATGCCCAGGAGTCAGGATCCTACTCCTGACCCTGAAGCCAGGGCCCTACTAACTCTGCTGATTATTTTTTGCTCTCGGCCCATGTTACCTGCCCTGGGATGCACTGATTCAACATCGGTGCACTTGTTGAGAAGGTACAGTGTTTATTTTCACTGAGCTTACATATGCAGAACTTCCAAGTACTGTTGTGCAGATTGTATTTTGGACTACGGGTGAGTGGGGCCTGAAACTGGCCTTCACACTGCTCACTAAGCATGTGCTCTGGTGTAAGGCTCTATCCACATGGAGATTTTCTTCTTGCAAAGATACCTTTAATTTGCCAAGTCACACGCCCACTAGGTCTGCTTGGAGGATTCATTCTTACAATTCATATAGTGGCCCCAACTATACCTTGAATGAGGCCTAGTGTATAAAAGTAGTGAGACTATAGCATACAATATATGCAAAATAGAATCACTGGTAAAAGTTTATGGGAATACAGAGAACGAAAGAAAGCATTCAGCTCCAGAGAGGCAGGCATGGCTTTCGAGCAAAGCTAATGATACTTATAACTACTGTTCATTGAGTGCGTACTACTCACCAGGTATTTATATGCATCATTTCTTCTCTAGCAACAATCTTATGAGATGAACACTGTTATTCACATTTTATGATGAAGCAGCTCAGGTTAATTTCAGCTTAACAGATAAGCTAACTCAGGGACACACAACTATAAAGTGATTGATCTGAAATTCAAAGCCAAGTCTGTCTGACGTCAAAGTCCATGGTCATTCTAATACACTATGGTGCCTCTA